AAAAGTTGATCCGAACCGATACTATGAAACAGCTGGAAATCTCAAGTAATCGTATTTTACAAATCTCATTTGATGAAGTTGAAGTGTTTGCTGCATCAAACATGGATGTTGATCAAGTGAATGGCTTTTATCCCACAGGTAGGATTTCACATTCTTGGTTTTTTTATTTGTACGATCCTAATTTCCACTTTTTAGAAGATCTACCGCCCCATATTTGCAAATTCAACTCAATCACTGATGATATTTCAAAAATTCACGAAAATTGCACAGCAATCCTTGGCCTTCTATATTATAAAGGAGGCATTTTCTCAGATATGGAATTGAAAAAATTTCAACAAATCCGAAAAATCTATGGAAATATTGATTTGTGGAATATGGAAATAGAAGATTTGTCCGCATTTTCAAACGTTCAAAAGATTATTTCCCTAAATAGTGGGTCAATAATTTGACAATGAGTTTTTTTCAGCTTTAGATTTTCATACTGGGTAAAATTCAGGTACTTTCCCAGCTATTCGTCTCAATTTTCTTCCAAAACTTGTTGATATAGAATTACCCATGTTGAGAAGCCTCTACGCACCCACATCGTACAAATTTACGGTAGATGGATCTCCAAATTTAAACGTTACATTAGCTGGATGCAGCTATTTCAAAGATATTACTCATGCGAAAGTATGGATAGATTTCCTGGATTGCGGTATGTGATCAGATCTGTAGGAACAAGACTTTCTTCATTGGAGATATTTTTTAGGAGAATGGTATGACCGGAAAACACAGCCAGCCGAGCCAGTGGAGTCATTTTGAGGCAATTTTCCCTTTAAGGCATTCAAATTTTTGCAAAGTATTTCCTGATTGTTGAAAAAAAACTATTTATTGAATTGTGTATTTCATGGAAGAATAAACTGATTGCTAAATGAAAATATCTCTATAGAACAGCAGTAATTCGAAAAACACGGAATATTTTATATATTTTCTATGATTCGCTAGCAAAAGTGAATTTCATTTTGAACTCGTAAATGACTGGAATTTTTCTCAACATTTTTCTAAAAAATATTTTTAAATATGTAAAAACAGCGTAAAATTAAAAGCTTCTACCTTCCTCTAGCCTGAATTCTAAAAAATAAACATTAAAGGTTTTGTCGCAAAGAGAAAATTCTTTAAAAAAAGAAAATTAGAGTCACGTCTGATAATACGAAAAACCACGTGGCCCAAGGGACAATCCCATGTAATACTGTGTGCTATTCTCCTATTTCCATGCGATCAATAAATAATCACGATTTGCAAAATTCGTGTCAGTCCATTATCCCATCACACCGACATCTATGTCGCGTTAATAAAATTTGAGATGACACTTTCCTTTGGTTTCTTTTTTTGTGCTTACCATTTGGAAGGTGAAAGAAGCATAAACCTTCAGTATTGTTGTTTGTTTCAGTCAAAATATCAATAATCGCCAAAATATAGCAAGCATGTATAACAGTATATACTACTAGTATACTCGCATGATCACAAAAACAAACTTTGTCCTTCGCTTCTTTGCTACCCCCCCC